ATTCTTCGATGTGGAGAAAATTCTCAAACTTGTGCACAACAAAAAGGAATTCGATTCCCAAATTTGTTCCGATGGCGTATCTATATCGTTGGTAAAGTGATTGTAATTGTGAATACAATGTTATTTTTGTTGTTCTCATTTTGTTAGGTGAATTTGCGTATATTCAGCAAGCGATATCACTGGGATGCGAAACAAGGCCGACGTAATGCAAAAGCCGAACGAATCACACGATTGTTTACTTTCGAAGAGCAAGCTGATCGTAATCGAATTGCAGCTATGATTGGTGAAATGCCATCGCCAAAAGGACCATCATGGCGTTCGTACATTGAACATCGATTACGTGTAATGAATGATGGCATTGAAACATATTCAACCAAACAGTATACACGCTTAGGACTGGACAAGTATATCGAATCGGTTCGTGCAATCGACAAGACGGCATGCAAAATGGTTCACAATCAACCCTCAATCTTCTACATGGGAGCCAGCGGATCAACACCAGCTAATTCACTAATTAAGATTAAGAAACATGTGCGATGTCCAGGCACACGGAAGCTGCTTGCAGCCATTATGAAACGTGGCAATTGCATCATTCGAATGGTCGATGAATACATGACATCACAACATTGTCCATTGTGTTTCAAACGATTTCCACTAGAAACTCGACGTGATCGATACAAGACATGTGTGGGTTGTGAACCAAATCCAATTGTTGGCTTACCAACACTCATTGTAACCAATGTAAGCAAACGATTACTACAAATGCGACGAACAATTGAACGAATGTGGCGCGAGATGCGAGATATGGGCGATGTCATTGCTGCAACTCTTCGAGATGGACCGAATGCAGGTCGATTGGTGTCAAAGAAGCAACGCTTCTTCAAAACATGGCTACCAAATGTCACAAACTTTGAAATTGAGGGAGCTGCCGGAGCACGACCAACGCTCACAAGTGTATGGCATCGTGATATCGCTGCAGCGGAGCTGATCCTCTACAAAGGTATGCACTATGCAATCAATTGAAATTGATACACATTGTAAAGCAATTGTTATACATGCAATGTGTTTTTGTTATATATCATTCGGTAGGTGAATGCGTGGTGTTCAAGCGGACAATTCATCCAAATGTACGGAGACCACGCCGTGTTGTCAACAATCAGCCATTGCCGTTGTATCGAGGTCAGAATCAGAATGTCAACAATGGACATCTGCAGCTGCAGTAGTAGCAGCCTTCCAAGGGAATGGCACGTATATGAGAGACATGTCGACGTGCCAAACCGTAACGCCATCTATCGGATAGAATCTGAATTTCAAATTTCGTATTGACTATTTCATATTTGTGTGATTTTGTTCATAGAATTATAAGGTTTATTCCGACAAAGAACGACCGCACTGAGTCTACTGTCAAAAATAATATGTGTGGTGAATTTTTTTCATTATTGACTATACAGTCACTTTTATAATTGTAAACATGATGCAATACATTAACACGAGCTG